AAACATTAGTTGATAAAAAATCATTTTAGTATATATATATATATATTTTAACAATACCAAGAGAGAATTGGTGCAATTTGGAGAGGCTAAATTAAAATTTGGTATTAGCTATAAATATATATATATATTTTAACAATACCAAGAGAGAATTGGTGCAATTTGGAGAGGCTAAATTAAAATGTGGTATTAGCTATAACTATATATATATATTTTAACAATACCAAGAGAGAATTGGTGCAATTTGGAGAGGCTAAATTAAAATTTGGTATTAGCTATATAACTAAGGTAAAATAACATGGAGAGACTACACTTCATAAGCCATACCAACCCATTCATGGAAAGGCAGCCAAAGTCTCTCAATATTCCATCCTCTTAATTCAAGGGCACTATAATGGTGGCCCTTAGACAGATTAACGAAAATAGAAGAGCCAAAAACGCAAGGAGTAACCCATACACTTATAGTTAAGGGAATACCTTTTTCGCAAAGTAATCCACAAAATGATTTACTTTGCTCGATTACAAGCTCTGCATGTCATGAGCAACACAAACTTGTAAAAGGAGAGCCTACTACAGAGTCTCTCAATGTTTCACCCTCTTAAATTCTAGGGCTCTATAATGGTGGCCCCTAGAAAGATTAACTACGAGAGAGAAGAGCCAAAAACACAAGGAATGTTCATAATATATGCTATAATCTTCAATTATTATTCATCAAGCGCTTTCTCTCATATGCCTTCTATGTATGCTAGCAGATGTGCTCACCATCATTGGTACTCAAGATATTGTCTCCGGCAAGGTGGATAGATTTTTACTCCTTATTTTCTTGGTTACCATCAAGATAAAAAGCTTCATAAACTGGGCTATTTTTGTAGCATGTTTCTTTAAAGTGAAAGTGTAATTCATCCTTCAGAAAAGGAAGTATATGACTCTTTCAAACAGTCTAGGTAAGCTTTTTTTTTTTTTTAACGAAGTTATTCCTAGTTTTTTTTTTTTTTTCGAACACAACTGTGAAGTTAGAATTGTGAAATTCTGAATGATTTTTAAAGATTGCCGAATTAAGCTTTTATTTTGGCCACAAACAAAATGAGATAATTTGTGAATATTTGTTAGATTTTTCAATTGATAATTTTTTTATATATTATATCATTTCTCTTTGAAATGTTTTGTTTGCTTTGTTTTGGTCTTGTTGCATGAAAAACAAGAATTCTAGATGATTTTCCAAAGGCGAAATAAAGTAACAAACAAATTTTCGATGGATGATCTCCAAGGCCTATGAAGTTTTTGTTTTTTTTTTTAATTTGGGAGATTTATGAGATTTTATTCTGTAGTAATATTTTCTTTCTCTCCTCTCTCATTCGGTATGTAATTATTCAGTGTTGTAATAATTCTCCGCCCCATTTCTTTCTATCTTGTTCTTTTATTTCTTTTCAACATATCCATGCCTTGCATCCATATTTCATGCATTTTGATTCGGTTAAGTTTGCATTTATGAATTTAATCAATTCTTATGTGATTATATGCGTTACCTCATGTTCTTGAAATGATTCACATGTCATATATTAGAAGTCGAATCTTTAGTTGCATCTCATGTGTGAATTGCATTAGGATTTTGCATATAAGATCATGCATGTTTTACTAACTTTGTTTTGTAGTTGTTCGCGAGACGCTAGTAAATATGTAAGTTTTTATGCTTTAGTATCCCTCTTGTGTGTGTTTTTTCTACTATGTTTAGCATCTTTCCATGTGGCTACTTGTTTACTTGATATAACTATATGAATGTTAGTGGATGAAAGTTGTGTCGCTTAATTTGGAATGATGTTAATTTTCATGTTTGTAAACTCAATTTTTTTGAGTTGTACATCTTCAAAACTCTTTCAAAATACATGAAATCAAATTATTCCAAAATGAATGACATAGTCTATACTTGATTGCTTCATACAGTAATTTTTATGATCTATTAAATAAATCAGAATATGAACATATAAAGGATATAAAACTCATATCATGGTTTAGTAGAGGCTAATCTTTGATTAGGTGAGTGGGGGTGCTCATTTAAAGACTTGCCCCTCTCATACCTAAGGTTCTGAGCCAAGTATCTTTAGTTACGATGAACAATGGCCTTAGCACGAGTCACAAGTTTCTTAATTTTTTCAAAATATTAGGTGGCGACTTTGAAATTTGGTAATGTAGTGGTTTCTGCAATAAAATGGATTTTCTATAAAGTTGTCAAATCTAGACTCTCATCAATGCTTCACATTGCACTCGTGAGACTAGATCAAGAGATCGAGTGTTCAAACTGTTTAATGCATTCAGGTACTCCCCGAACGATGTTACAGTCAGACGAACTCACTTGGCTAGCTGGTCCTGCTCAGTGCTTCTCGGCTAGCTACGTCCTCAGTTCTTTTAACTCGGCGTCCTTGGTACTATTGTCAAGAATGGCGGCTTTGGTAGCCTTCCTCAAGTCTAACATGCATTAATGTGCCACTTCATTTTTCTGTACGACCTGTAAAACAGATTGGACATCAGGAAGACTGAGCAAACAGTTGAAAAGAAGAAAGAACAACTACAAATTTATCACTCACTAGAACTAGCAACTTGGTGGCTGACTTGATAGCCTTCAGTTCGGTCAGTTGTTCATATCTTTCCATGTCGGCAGGAAGGCGAAGGCTCTTAGCCAGATTGAAGGCCAACTAATTGTCCTTGTTAGTGCAGACCGAATCAGATGTGGTCATAACTCGGCCCTTATAGGTCAAGGCTGGTGTTTACACTGGGGGGATGGATAGGTTAGCCTGTTCGGTCAAGCTCCCCCCAAAGGTGTTTCCAAGTTGAATTGCTCACCGGTTCGCTGCTCAGTTTCTTCTTCGTCCACCAGACACTGCTCGGTGGGTGCAGTTTAGGCCCTTTTGCTTGGCCGAGATGAAGAAGCCATTGTTGTTGGCAGTGCAACGACAACCGCCCTCATTTACTCGGCGAGCTGCTGCTTGGTTTGAGCACCCTTAGGCGCTAAAGAAGTTAGCTCAGTGATCAAGGCCCTAAGTGCCCTTCTTTTGGCCATGTCTTCTTTCTCGGTCTATGAAACAAAATTGATTTCAAGCAAGGTAGGATCTAGCTTTGGTGATGGCTCAAGGAGGAAATCTGTGACCTTACTTTTTTGCTTGCTGCTGTATCAGTAGGTCACCTCAAAGTTGAGTAGATCGATCCAGTCCCTTTGTCTATATCTCAACGTGGCGCAGAGAATGTCCTTGTTTGCGTATGCATAATTCTCTTTCAAAAAGTTCAAATCCACAAAGAAAAACATTGGCAAACTATCAGCTCGGTAATAAAGCTGCAATACGGCTGTTATAATAAATAAAACCTTGCTACTCATACCGGCCATCCTTTCATTAGTGTTAATATAATAGCTCGGCAGTAGAGCTTCTTGGTCCTCATAGTTGCCAAAGACCTAGAGGAAGTCGTCATTGTGCAAGTCTTTCTCTAGCATCCTTTTGACGATCTTCTTATGGCCTCTTTTCACTTTTAGGTAATAGCACCAGCCGTCGTCTGTCTGACCGATGGAGTATTGATAGAATATCTTGGCCAAGCCAAAATTGAGGCCTAAGCAGTGATTTAGCTCGGCTATACCATTTATTGTTCTGTGTGTGTTGGTGAAAAGTTGGGTTAGGCAAAGTCTTGTTTGTCTCTGGAACTCGCAAATTAGGGGTTAGACCAAGAAATGTAGTCGATCCTCTATGATGGATAGTACGGTGAAAGGGTAGAATCCGATTTTACCCCAAGGTATTGTGTCTAGCTCGACTAATGTGAAGTGTAAATTGTCTGGAATATTGTAGTCCTTACAGAATTCGGCTATGGCTTATGGAGAGCTCACCATGAAGCGGTACTTGCCCATGGGAATTGTTCTTAAGTATTAATTTATTTATTTGCTCGGCTTTTTAGCACGGCCTCAAGCTGGTGTATGTTTGTTTAGCTAAATGGCACTACCAAGGGGCAATCGTGCAAGTGTGCCTGACAAATTCTAGTTGAGTCTGTACGGCGGAAAATGAATCGTGTTATGCTCAAGTGTTGATCGAGCTAAAACAATAGTATAAATTAAGTATAGAGTAATGAAGCTCTAAAAGGGATTGCTCGGTTAAGAGAGCATGCAAATGTTGTTCTTAGCTCGGTCATTGAGTTTGTTGTGATGAGCTATGGTAGCTCGGTCTTGCGAATGTAAAAGGTTTTAGTGTGGTTTGAAATTGGAGTAATACAGTATCGTGGTGCAACACAGAAGAAAACATGGTTTTAGCTCGGTTCAAAGTCCGAGAAAGGTCTTAGCTCAGCCTCAAATGGGAGCAATGTTTTAGCGTGGCTAGGCCAAGGGGCAAGGATACAGCTCGGTTCCAATCGTAAGCAAAGTTTTAGCTTGCTTCAGGTGTTATGCAATGTTTTTAGATTGGTTATGCCACAATTTAGATTGGTTAGCTATCCGACTGTATAATGAACTTGAAGTTTGCTCGATTCTAGTGTGATTTTGGATCAAAGTTATAGTTTTTGACTAGTTTTGGCCCTAGTCGCTTGGTGTTCATCTCAGAATATGGGATTTTAAGGGTTATCAGAGATCCAAGCTTAGTTCCAAAACTCATTTTATCCAAATTTCAATGGTTTTAAGTGCTATAGTGCCATTCATGGACATGGATAGTGATTTAAGTGAACAAAAATGCCAAAAACACGAAGAACAATATGAATATCTATGGAGAAATGATGAACAATTTGAAGAACTTATAGATTTGAGTTTGAATCAGGTTCCAATCGGTGAAAATGCATGAAAGGTAATGATGAGTTTGGCGGTGCAATACAGACGCTTGGATTTGAGCTTCAAGGCGTGAAGGTGGTGGGTTGGGGCTCTAGTTTTAGGGTTTTTTCTTTGAGAAGATGAATAGCAGAGGGATTGGCTGTATATGTATGAGCTATATATATAAAGAAGGTATAAAGCGGGACGGTTCAAATTTTTGGGGCCAGTGCGTGACGGCTATAACAACGCACGGGCACAATCGGGGCTAGCCATGTATCCTAGAAAGGACATCATGTTAGAATGGTTAGTAAATGTGCTATACGAACAAAATAACCTCCTAGAACGGCGCTAGAGTGGTGATCGAGCAAACGTGGTTATCTCGGCCGGAGAGCGTATTTTAGCTTAGCTGTCAAGATGAATTTCAATTATGTGCTGTAGATGGAATTAAGGGGCAACTGAGAGGGTAATTTGTGTAGCCAAGTTGGGCCAAGCTAGTTAGAAGTGTCTTTAGGGCTAGGGTCACGCAGTGGGCCAAAGATAGCATTATCTGGGTCGAGCAGTGGCTAGGCCAGTCAAAGATGTTGGACCAGCTAGCAACCGCCCATGTTCTTGAACCTAGCTACTTAAGAATGACAGTCAATGCCTTGATCGAGCTATAAGGAAGACGGTCAAACAGACCGAGAATAGGGGTTTGACCGAGCCAGGAGAAAAGTCGCGCAATGTCAGCATGATGACGTGCTATGCAAGCTATGCATGACGCTATGTGTTGCACTTCTGAACCAGTGGCGGAGAAAGCAAAAGTAGTCCGGTTTCGCCGTGCAAAAAGTTGTGCCATCTCACTTAACTTGTAGTGAGGAGGGTGTTAAAGGATAAACATTATTCTTTAGAAATGTGATTCCTAGAAGGACTCTTCAAAGGAGAGTTAGAGTCCTATTAGGATTGTGCCATCTGAAATCAACAAAAGCTCATACCAAATCCTAATCTTAGGTATTTCAATTCATACTCCCGAATTTACAAAGTTTTTACCTCTTTAGTCTATTTGTTGACTTAAGCATCGGAGGGATTTACGGCACCCACTTGCCAGCTAGCTCACGTTTGTGGTTTCAGGTGTTACGACGACGTTTGGAGGAGCACAAGTTTGATCAACAGGATTATATGAGCGACGATTATTTTGTGCTTGTACACCATATGTGCACAGCTTATTGGACAATTTTATAATTCTACTTCTGCTTCCGCTTCTGGCCCTATATAATTAAATATGATTTGAATTCTGTTTGAGTCGTAGATGATCTCATGATTACTGGTCGATTATGATCCATACCTCTAGGGGTGAGTTCAAGTCATGACAGTTACATTGGAGTGACAGAAACGTGATCCAAAAATTGGATCCAACTTCCCTAAGATGGCATCCCCAAATGAGGAAGGGTCGAAACGTCCACAAATCATACAAAAACTTAAAATATGATCTCACGGTAAGATTGTCAAAAACAAACAAGACCTATCAGTGTATTAGAAAATCTATAGGACTGATTAGAGTAAACAATTCTCATATGGAATTTTTTGATAAATTTTCCAATTCTTTTGAATGTGATAAACACGAGATCAAATCTAGACATATATCATATAATTTATTTTTTGAGTACATAATTTTTCCAAGAAAAACATGGGACATTTCATCAGTTGGAACTTCATCTTCTTTACACATTCAAACCAAACAATTCATGCACTAGTTTATTCAAACCACACACTGCAACCAAAACTACCAAACTACAAAGCAAATATCATTCTTTGTTACAAGCAATTATTTCACACAAACAATAAGTGGATCACAGATTGATGAACAATTTCAAGATAACAATCAAGAGTCCGTGGTCTTCAATGTTGCACCTATGAGACATGAAAAATATAATCAAAATTAAGCATTGTTTGATTGCGTTTGGATCATGAATTTAGATTGAAAAACATTTGGAAAAGGAATAGGAAAATATGAGTAAAATGTGAATAATGTATAAACTATTTTTTTTTCTTCATTTTTCTTTTCCCTTCTAAATTTAAATCTTTGATCCAAATAGAGTGTTAATCTAGTGGAGGAAAAAAAAAAAAAAAAAAAAAAAATTTGAAAAGGAAGATGTAATGAGGTTTGCTAGCAAAGCACATGGTAAAAATGGCCCGAGGTCCATGGGCAGCTCGAGGTGGGCCCGACCCATTTTGACCTGGTCAGGCTCGAGCCTAGCCCAGTACCTTGGGCCTGAGCCTGGGCCTTCCATTTTTGACCCAACCGTTGGCTCAGCCCAGCCCGGCCCGGCCCGGTCTTCTCTCTACTAATGGTTAAATTTCAAAAAATAAAAATAAAAAACTTGTAACAGTTAAATAATGAAAAAAATAAAAATATAACACAAATAAGATAAATAAAAGATTGATCTTGCAAAAATTTAAAAAATAAAAACAAAAAGTTATTAATATTATTATTTTATTAATTTAATATATTTATACATCACTTAACACATATCTTAACATATCCATTACACTACCACTCACTCTGTAAAATTAGCAAACTATTAACACACATTTTTTGGTCTCACTATTATTATTTTTTGTCATATAACATATTATTTTTTAGTCACTCCATTGTGAATGCTCTTATAGTGTTTCAGACGATGGATGGAATATTACAAGGTTGTTTTGGGTTTGCAAGTTATTACATGTCTATTTTTTTAAATAAATAAATATAATTC